AATGTGATAGATTTTTTTTTTTTTTTTTGTACTGGGGATTGGAACCAGGGGCACTTAGCCACTGAGCTAGTAGCCAACCCTTTTTATTTTTTGAAACAGGATTTTGCTAAGTTGTTAGGGCTGTGCTAAGTTGCTGAGGCTGGCTTTGAACTTGTGATCCTCCTGCCTTAGCCTCCAAAGCCACTGGGATTATAGGCATGTGCTACCATACCCRGACAGATATGTTTTTTTAGAAAGGTAATTCTGATGGCCTTGAAGAGTAAACTGTAGCTGGGGAGAGACTAGTGCTAGGGAAAGGCCTTAGGAGGTGAGAGGTGCAGTAACTGTGTAGTGAACTCTCACTGGGTGACCAGGTGTTCCTACCCAGGATTACCCAGGAGAGAAGAAACAGAATGTATGCTCTCATAAATATCTCTGCACAAATATTTATAGCAGCTTTATTCATAATGGCCTATAATTGGAAATAACTCAAATAACTATCAAATGCTATTTAATGGATATAATGTGGTATGTCCATATTATAGAATACTACTCAGCAGTAAAAAGTAATTAATTATACTATTGGCATGTGTAAATAAATCCGAAAAGCACAATGCTCAGTGAAATAAGCCAATCTCAAAAGGCTGTAATACTATTTTGATTCCATTTATTTGGCATTCTGGAAAAGGCCAAAAGTAGACAAAAATCAGATCAGTGGTTGTTGGAGGACAAGGGAGGTGGGGATTGACTGCAGGGTGGCCTGAGGGAACTTTGGGATAAAATTGCTATATGTCTTGACTGAGGTAGTGTTTAAACACTGTATACATTTATCAAAACTCATCAAGCTCTTCACTTTAAAGGGGTGAATTTTACTATATATAAATCATACTTCAATAAACCCGTTAAGACAAACAACAATGTAAATGAACCTCAAAAACGTGCTAAATTAAAGAAGTCAGACTCAGAAGAGTATATCCCATGTGATTCCATTTATAGGAAACTCTAGAACAGGCAAAASAAATCTGTGGTGAAAAAAAWAAGAGTTGTATTTGTCGGGAGTAGGGGTAATAGGCAAGGTATATACCAGGAAAGGGCATGGGGACTCTTTCTGAGGTGAGGGAAATGTTCTGTGTGGGTTACATGGATGCATCCAGTTACCAAGACTCACTAAACTACCCCTTAAGCTCTGTGCACTTCATCATTGTAAGTTGTACCTTAGAAGGGATAGAGAAGATCTGATGGATTTAAGAGGAAGGATGATAAAGAGAAATGTGGCAACATGTTGGATTTTCGAGGTGGCAAGGAGAGTGTTTCTAGCTTTGGGGCCTGGTGAATGGGGTCACCTTTTTGCAAGATAGGAAACTAAACAATTTTGGGCAAAGATACCAGTGCTGATTTGCTGAGTGTGGAGTTCCTGTGGGATATCCTAGTGACAGTGTCTAGATGGATGTTGGAATTATGGATTTGGCATCCAGGAGACACTTGACTAAAGATAGTTAAATGTTATCATATCATTGATTGTAGCCGTGAGAATATATGAGCTTACCCAAGAAGAGAATAGAACTGAGCAGGAAAGAGATCTGAGGATGCCAGAAGAGAAGGAATAAGAGGAGAATCAAAAGAGAGCAGTGTCCTGGAACCCAAGGGAGAAGAAAGTTCCTGTCAGTCGGAGGTGGTTGACACTTCCAGATGCTCGAGCTTTTTGGTGATCACAGTCAATTAGTAGACAGTGGAAGCAGAAGCAAATTTTTATGGGGTGGGGAGGGAATAGGCATTAAGAGAGTTCAGACAGCTAAGTGAAGGTTGCTATTTTAAGAAGCCSTGTTTAAAGCAATGGGGAGAAAGGGGTACAGATGTAAAGCAGAGGTGCAGAGAAGCAGCCTCTTACACTGACCAGTCTCATTTTCAGGTTGCTTTGGTTTGGCCAGGGGCTGAAGGAAATTTTTCTTACCAAGGAAAATTGTCCTGGGGAAATAATTGAATAAGGTTGTAGCAACAGTCTTTGAAAATCATTGATCTGAACAGAGGAACAAAGAGAGGAACTATCAGCACAGGAAAAGCCTGGCTTATCTGCACCCAATGACAGGGACACTTGGAAATCTCATCCTGGATACTGAATTTTTAAAATTCTAGACCCGGCTGTTTAAACACACAAAAATGAAAAGGTGAGGAAGCTTGATATTCTCAGCACCACCTTCTCTTTGCCTTTTAAAATCTTTAATATCCATGGAAAAGTCTAGCCCTAGTTAAAAGAACCCAGGCTCATGTTTTAAGCTGAGTTGTTTATTCAAGAGAGAAATCTGATACGCAGCTGTCTTCTGCCCCTTCCCTCTTCCCTGGCTCCAGCCTTTTAGGTGAGCTGAGCTTTGCACTGTGTCGCAGTGGTGCCCCATGGCCACCTGTGCTTCTTCCTCACTCTTCCGTGACTGATACAGGCGTAGTTAGATATTTTAGTTTGGCACACTCCCCATACACAGTGTTTAGCACCAACAGGTTTTATTCACCGGAATGAAAATTAATTTAGCACTGTGAAGGGAGTTCTTTCTCTTTAGGCCATATTTTTTTTTTCTTTCACTTCCCAAAATATTTGTTCTCAGCGTCTCTGCTGAGGTTCCTGTAATTTGCCTGTGATTTGGGGAAAYGGTTAAGTAAATGTGGTGGTTGCTGAGTGCTCCCCTGGATTGTTAATCTAACTATGTCTTAATTTGTGGCTGATTCTACAAACCTGATTAATATATGCATTGATCATTATTTTCACTATGTTCTTCCTAATATGATTACCACTGCTGCTTTATGAAACAGTTTAATCCTGAACTAAATTCAGCTTTTAAAACTGAAGAGACTATTATGTTCTTGAATCAGACAGTGTGCTCTCCTGTTCATATAATGTCAACAAGGACTTCTAGATTGTACATACAGTCAAGTTTTTCCTTTTAAATGCCTTGATCGGTGCTTTATTGCAAAAGGTTTTTCTCAGGATAAAGGGGGAATATCCTGTGGCATTATTGAGGTTTGGGCTATTAGATATTCAGAAGATTCTAGTAGCTATAAAAGGTAAGAATTTGCTACCAAAATAGAGAGCTAAAGGAGTTTCCTTTTATTTACATTTTGAAATGTAGATGATATGTACATTTTATATAGTTATCTGAAGGTGAATCTCATCTCAAACACTCATATAATTTTTTATTAGTTTGCAAATTAAATKGAATCCTGTGTAATTGCTGTGGAAGCCAATGCCTTCATGGAGACTTTACCCTAGAGGGTTTAGAATACAAATATCTTCTTGTTTTCACACAGCACAAACCAGATGGAGATTCAGTGAGCATACAGGTATTGATAGTGATTAATCCGGAGGGCAGAGGAAACCAGAGGTTGCTAACGAAGTGTCAGAGAGAGAAGTGACTCCCCAGGTTCTACAATGCACAGTCAGGTGGACCTCTAGGTCTCCAGGTTCCCATTCTAGGATTCTCGGCACTGCATCATAAAACTTCAGACTTCCTGTGTTCTGAAATCTTTGAGGCCATCTTTTTAGAAGTCTATGTTTATTTTTTTTCCTTTTCTTTCTTTCTTAGAGGATTAAGAAATAAAAAAAACAAAAACCCTTGTTTTTTCGGGGGAATGGGGTACTGGGGATTGGACCCAGGGGCACTCGACCACGGAGCCACATCCTCAGCCCTATTTTGTATTTTATTTAGAGACAGGGTCTCACTGAGTTGCTTAGCACCTCGCTTTTCCTGAGGCTGGCTTTCAACTCATGATCCTCCTGCCTCAGCCTCCTGAGCCACTGGTATTGCAGGCGTGCACCACTGTGCCTGGCTTAAAAAGAAACAAAAACAAAACCTTCTTTTTTTTTTTTTTTTTTTTTTTTAAAGAATGGGGATTGAATCCATGGCCTTGTGCATGCAAGGCAAGCACTCTACCAACTGAGATATATCCCCAGCCCCCCAAAAATCCCTTCTTGATAAAATGAAATTTGTTTCAGAATGAGTTTCTGAAAAATTTCTGTTGTTCTGTGGGTATGACCTCTGATCACAGTAAGGAATTTAGTCTTTTTCCTTGGAGAAAAGGTGTGATTTCTTTTGAGTGACCTGGGGTGGGAAGTTGGGAAGTCTGTAGCACTTATGAGACTCATGTTTGGTATGTGTACATCAAGATGGTACACCACTGTGATTTMATCTCATTAGTGAGAGCATCTCACTAGTAATAATATGAAGAGCTCCAAAGTTAACCTTTCATTCCTGAGTTTGTTAAATGAAATCAGGCAATCTAAGAGTCTTGTTTTATTTCTTGCCGTAGTTGGGGTGGAGCACTGAAGAAGAAAATCAGTAAATAATCCAGAAGCCATGGAAATTTGGTCTTTGACTGCCCCCCCCCTTCTTAAATATTAATGGTGTGAAATGGTTTGTCACAATCCTGCTTTGCCATTCCTGGCTTCATCTTTTCTCTTCTGAATTTCTGTCTACAGGCCAATTATTTTACCTTCTGTGTTCAAAGGGAGATTGAAACCATAGGAGAGAGGAAATAATAAATATATTTTACATTTAAATGTCTTCTTGACCTGGGTTACAAAAGCAAGATCTTATGTCTAAGAAAATGTGATGGAAGGACCCTAGAGTGGTGTCTTGAGTATATTTTTCTGTTTTCAGAGTATGGCAGGGAGGTTTGGAGTAGTCCCGAGCAGTGTCGACACTGGATGCACTTGCTTCATTCCTTTTCTCAATAGTTGTTTATCCATGAGCATAGCAGCATCATGCTTGTGAACTCTTGTGGAGTCAGGTTKCTCTCTATGGAGGACTCGGGAACACAAATAGAGTGGATGATATAAGCAGGAATTGTATAATATCTTAAAATTAGCTTTAGAACTTGATTAATGTCTTGAACTTGAAGGATTCTCTTCTTTTGTTTCCGCTTACTGTTTATACTGTTTCTAGAATTCTGGGGAAGTTGATGGATCAACCCTTTCGGATCTTTGTGCAGTTGTGATGTGTTAAATGATCTTGTGTGTTGTGTTGTATTTCTAGAACTATATGGCTTTGATGTGCTCATAGATTCTACTCTGAAGCCATGGTTGTTGGAAGTGAATCTCTCTCCTTCTTTGGCCTGGTAAGTCATTTCCATCAACTTGAAAAGGACAAACGTACAAGTGACCCTAAAACACTTTTTAACGAGGGTCAGGAGGGTCATTTCATTTAGCACTAGAAGACTTTCCCCCTGTTATTAGATAGAGAAGGCTCAAATTTTTAAATGATTTTTTTGGCAACCAGGGATCCCTGTTTTCCTAGTCAGTTGCAGTATATGCTTACTGTTTATTGGACCTCTGGAATGTGATTTCTGCATTTGTTTTTATCCTGAAGGGTTTTTTTTTTAAACTTGGTAGGTCTTTTGTTAAGAATAAAGAAATACATATGGTATTATATTCTCTTTATTACAAAGGTTTATACCGACTCAAGTCCACATATACTGTAAAGCTGGACCTCTGCTTATGTAGGTTGTACCTGGTTCTTTTGCCTCCTCCACGTCCTGGTATCCATCCAAAATTAAAGTCTAAGAACTTCAAAAAATCTTTTTTTAAAAACCAATTCTTGTTTAGAAGAAGGAAAGACATATATTTTTCAGAACTGAGAAGATTCTTCTTACCTCTGCAGCCAGAATTTCTATTAGCTATACACTTATCTAAATAGAAAACCCTAGAGATTTATGCCAAAGACCACCCGGCTGTTGAATTTTAAGGATGAGAAGGAATGGCAGAATGCCAGTGGAGCGAGATCTGGCTTCACCTCGGTAGTAAGGTGTAGAACTGGATGTTACAGATRCTGCAGATGTTATGCTGTACTTTGGCCAAGTCAGCCTTCTGCAGATTACCCAGTAAAGCACCTTAGACACTGTTAGATGTCCCCGGGTGTTGCATTGGGTACAGCATGGAGGACACCAAAGCCAGCCTTTTGCTTTCTGTTCATGTTGCTTGTGTTTCTGTGTGGGTTCCTGCTGCATCGTTTGGTGGGACTTTGGTATGTTTTGTTGTGTCTTTCTGCATTATTTGCAAGCCTAAGAAAATTGATTTAAAACAGAAAATAAAGACTTAACAGAAAAGTATGAAGGTGGCCAAAGTTTCTTGTCTTGTATGTGAATGTGATTCAACTATTGCAGCAGTAAAACAAAATTTGGATGATGGGCATACTCGTAAAAGAGCATACTAAAAGTCTAAGCCTTTAAAATCTATGGTGATAATGAAGCAATATTCTTGACTTGTGCAAAATTTGAATTGCATAAGACCTTCTGGAATAAAAAGATTACATGTTAGGGAATCAATGCGTTGGTGCTGGGCCTGCCTCACAGAGGGCGAGTTTAACACCAGGCTTTTATTTCTAGTACTTCTGCCCAGATGTTCTTGTCTTTTTCCATGGATTTGATGTGTTTTATGTGTTGCTTCTCATCAACATTTGGAAACTCTCCTATATGGGGGCCCATTAGAAGGCAGCTATTCTGTTAACCTATAAAATTTATCAATTGTTCTTTTCTTTCTCTATTTTCTTAGTGATGCACCTCTGGACCTAAAAATTAAAGCCAGCATGATTTCAGATATGTTCACTGTGGTAGGTGAGTAGTAGTGTTTTTCAAAACAGTCTCATATAAAAATTAACTAGAGCATCCATTTTGTCAGGCTCCATAGGTATTGCCAACTGGCAGTTCCTAAGCCATGCTGAATGTTTTGTACTAAAAAATTATATTTTCAGGGAAGTGTTTATATGTTTCTACTCCCCCTGGCTCCATCCTGTCCTGAGGCTGAACCACAACTAAGGCTGAGACCTGAGGCATAGGAATTATGAGCTGAGGCAGAGAATTAAGCAAAGATCTGCAGAAAGTGTATTTTTCTCTGAGCTGGGAAAGTGAAACCCACTGACGAAGCCTGGTTACAAAGGAGACTGGCTGTGTTTCTGCTAGACAGTCTCTATTGGTCTCAATATGATCCCTGGTGTAGTATTTATAACCAAAGTGGCCCAAAGAAGAAATCTCATTTTAAGTAGATAAGCCAAAACTTTGAAATGGAGATGGGCATTCAGGTGGATATGATGTGGATTTATTGTTGTTTTTTGAAATTCTCTAAAAAGACATAATAAAGTATATTTGAGATGAACCTAGTACTTGATGTACCAGTAAATGCTATAAAACTTAGCTACTCTATTCTTCTTGGATGGGAATTCACTTCTTTTTAGGAAGTCAGTGAAATTAGCTGACGTCCAATTTCTTAAATGATAGATAATGTACAAAGCCCGTTTTGGGAGTAGCCAGTGGGCCACCTTCGGCATTTCCAGAAGTAGATCATGTAGCAGGACAACACTGCTCTCTTGCTTTTGGATACCCAGTAAAAACAACATCATTCTCTAGTCAGATTCTGGAAACCACTTTGAAATAACTTGTTTTTATTAATAACTATGTGTTTTAAAATGGCCATATACACATTTACTCAGGATTCATCAAGAATCTACATCTCTTTCTCAATGAGAGTCACATTTCAGCTACCCAACTAACATAATCATCTTGATGATGGATCTCTGTGATACTTATGACTGTGTAATTGAGTTTGTGCATCTACAGTTGCAGCCAAATCTGCTAATATCTTAGAAAATGGCAGATTTTAATGTGGCCCATTCCCCATTTAGGATTTGTGTGCCAAGATCCTGCCCAGCGGGCAACTACTCGGCCAATTTATCCCACCTTTGAGTCTTCCAGGAGAAACCCTTTCCAGAAACCTCAGGTAAGGAAATTCAGCAGCAAGGAGTCCAGGGGAGGCTTACAAGGAAGTGGCAGCAGATGTAAATGAGGGAGTCCAAGCGCCATGGAGGTGAGGTGGCTTAGGGGAGGAGAATTGGGGATCAGTCTAGACAGGGGGCAGTTATGTTCAGCTGTGGCTAAAAGCTTATGCTTTCCAACACATTTTTACTCCCTGCCTTTGTTTTGTCTTTTCTCTTGGCTTCTTTTTCTCATGCCTTTCCTTTTGTCTTTCTGTCTCTTTTCAAAAGTTACCTCCCCCTTCCCAAATGGGCATACTCATAAACAAAGCACAGAGAGGGAGCCTATTAATTCTTAGTCATTACTGCATTCTTTCTGATCTTCAGACTAATTTCAAAGATGCTCCCTTGAAATAGCATCTCCCTTGAAATAGCATCTTCTCTACCTGAAATTCTCTTCAAAGGACCCTGAATGATTGTGAGTTATTGATTGAAGCTAAATGAAATAAATGCTCAAAGAAATTTGGGCTTGTCAGAAACATCATTTGATCAAACATTGCTCTGGTCTTTGTGTACTCTGCGTTTTTGTTCCACTTAAACCCATCAGCTAACCTCCGTCTGCTCCTTCCGTCCTCTCATCAGTCCCTGTCTGCCTCTACACTGCTGATTTCTTTGCTTTTAATTTTTCTTCTCGTGTAAAAGCTCCCTCTTCCCCGCCTCTGTGCGTCGGGTTTGATCACCTCGCATTCCCGAAGTTTTGGAGATACTTTCTTACTAAGTCATCCCACTCTTCAGTGACCGTCACTTCTCATGGCAGCCTTACTTACTTGTTCTGCATGGCGTGGTTTTGCATTCACCGATTCATTGCTTTCAAATTGTCCAGTCTCCTTCACTAGATGTAGGCTCTTTCCTGCTCCCCTTCCTCCCTCTTCTCCCCTTTCCCGTCCTTTTGATCCCTTTCACACCCTTACTTCAGCCCTCACTCCTTTCCTTTTCCCTCCCTTTCCTTCCGTTGCTCTTCCTGCTCCTCTTCCCTTTGCTTGCTGGTCTTATTTAGAGTGGTGCTGGTTCTGTTTGCCAAGCTCATATACTATCATTTATTTAAAGAACTTTTCACTAGAACAGGGTTTTCAAACTCAACCTCCAGGCCTATAGGCAGATGATGTCAGTGAGTACCTGCGGCAGGTGTAACGCAGCTAGAGTGATGTGACAGAGTAGGAGAGCATGGGCCTCACGGAAAAGGGGCGCCTGTTTAATGTGCTCTAACTGATCACTGCCGCGCGTCAGTGTGGGCCAAAGGGGCTGAGATCTTCCTGTTGTCAAGAGCAATCAGAAATCTTGCTTTTAAATATCASCAATTAGTTCATTAAAACAAAACAAAACAAAACAGTTTTGCAGGCCAAACATAACATTTCTTTGAGCCGGATGCAGTCTGTCCAACTGTGACCCCTGCTCTGAAATAGACTTCCTAAGTATTAATGTGATGTGGAACAGGGTGTACTGTATTTTAAGAGGTATTATCTTGGATTACAAATAAAGGCAGCAGAGTTGTACTTGATTAATGCATCATCACAGATCAAAGGGTTTTTAAAAAAATTTTAATAAGAAAAAGTACAGGATTAACCTAGGTGTATTGGGAAAGCCTAATTTGGGCAATCACATTCCTTTGCAGGTTATTTCCTATAGCATCTTTGGCAGGAGCCACCAAATTGATATAGAAAGAATTGTGAATGTTTCTGTCCAGTTTTAACACAGTTTCCCAAGTTGCACTTCTAGGGATAACTTTATAACAAGCTGGGATGAGTGAACTCTTCTCTTGGCTTGCCTGTCATTTTTTATTGGCAGTTCTTTGCAAATGGTAGGCAATCTACTTAATGTTTGTTTTGCCAACTGGTAGGTAATGGCATGAGATCATCCATAAGCAGCCCATAGGGCTCTTACAGACAGGTGCTAAAGGAACTATAGCCTAGGTACATGTACTGTTTGAAACCAATGGTCAGGAGATGATAATCTTCAGTACTTGGCAGAATTGTGCCCTTGGTGGTGAGAAGTTGAAGATGGAATGCAAATGGTGTAGGAGAAAGTGTGAAAAATACAAATTCTCTAATTTTTCATCCACAAAAGTGTGGGGCTCTTGCCTTTGGTCTGTGCTTGGAGATTGTTTTTTTCCTTTTTCATATCATAGATGTAGAAGATGGAAAATATAGGCATGTTAGGAGAAGATAAGGCTTTATTCCATTTTTCTGTCTTTTATAGCGCCCAGTATCTGCACAGTTTCAATCATCATACACCAAGCAGGTAAGTTCTGGATCATTTGGAGACTTCATTCAAATTTTATTCCCATTTTCAAATGGAAAATCTTTTAGCTTTAACCTTTTATGGTATGTATTTATGTGCTTGTCTTTTTTGCACAGTTGAGTCAGATGAGATAGAATAAACAAAGATTTGCACACAATTACTGTTGGTTATAGAAGGTAAGAGGAGAGGATATGGGAACATGTGGGTCCTCTTCCTGATGGTGACTTTGCTGTGATGGAGACAGTTGAATTTAAATGAGGAACAGGGCAGAGGTACATCTGTTGCTTTAACCAAAATATTCTAGAAAGGAACTATTACAGTTCACAAATGAAACTTGTTTGACTCAGATGTCTTAATGAAATATACTGTTGTTAGTAGCTTAATATTATCAGTGTTTTCACATTGGGTGTTGGGCTGTATTTGAGTTTCTTGACAGATGACATTTCATACATGTAATGATTTGCAGCCGAATCTTAGAAACCTGCCATGATTAGTGTTTCAGATGATACCTTTTAAAAAAAGGCAAATATCTTTCTCTCTGAATGGTCAGCATTTGCTCTCTTACTGTTCTTATAAGTAGTATTTCAGATTAGCCATCACTTTCTTCTAAGCAGATCTTTTTTTTTTTTTGTCTTTTATCTTTTTAAAGCAATAGTCTAGAAGTTCAAATCCTCTTTCTATTATTTGATGCTCTTTTGATAGGTGTCCTTAAGTGTGTTACTGCAACACTGTTTAGCAAAAAACTCCAGTATACTTACTTTGGCATTTATACTTTCTAATGCAGTTTATTATTTCTGATAAAGTGATTTATATGAAGAAATGAAAAAAAAAAACTAGATGCCTTGTATTCTCTTTGCTAACTGRTTGGTTTGATTGTATAGTATGTGTTATGGGTTTAGATGGTGGAGTTCAAAACTATAGTATATGTGGTGTTTATATTTAGTAAGTCCTAAACATGCTAGCTGCTGTCCATGTCCCCCCACCCCCAAAAGGCTATTGACTTAAAGAGCTTATGTTCTAAATACCCCTGGAACTGATTTGCTTAAGGAGAACATTAAAAATACTATTTTAGAGACTTCTGAGTTTGATGTCAGAGTATCTCTGATATATAGTTCTGATCTTAATTCTCCTTTATCTATTTTAATCCCATTATATCTAGGTACACTGCTTGAATCATAGTAGGCTGCAGTAGCCTTACTGGAGAGCCAGGCTTCTCTCGCGTCTTTGAACACTGTTTACATGACACAAAATCTTTATTTGGTCAACGTTAAGCATGTTATTCTTTGACTCTCGTTCTTGGCAGTGTTCTGTTTTGTCACTGTCTTTCTGTTAGTGAAGCTCTCAACTCCATAGTAGTTCCATCAGAACTAAGAACATTTTCATCATGAAGTCTTAGTACTTTTGCCCCTCGCCTGCCTTTTCCTTTCTATTTTATTGTCTCCATTGACATTTTTCTTTTTCCTCAAATGTCTGTGTCAGATTTTCCACTTGTCAGAAATCGCATTGCCTGCTAGTGTGCAAAGAGCATGGACTTTAGAATTGGATAGGCCTGGGTTCAGATTTGATCTCTGCCGTGGCTAGCTGAGAGAGTCGGCACATTCCCTTTACTCTGGGGCTCAGTTCCCACGTCACCCAGTGGGGAGCATGGTACACACATGGAGGTGTGGTGAGGAAGAAAGGATGAAACATGTCAAATATTTGGGACAGTGCCGATCGCTCAGTGCATACTCAGAAAATATAGCCTCTTCACACTTTTGAGTCCTATTTTGATTTTTTTTTCCATTGTTAACATCTAGAGTTATTCTGATGTTCATCAATCCCTGATCATCTCTTACACATTTGCTGTCACCCACAAATGTTATCTATTTGTTCATTTCTTTATTTTTTCTTCCAGACATTATTGGAGATTCTCAATAATGCTAAGTATCATTTACTGAGGTTGATATTCTCTTGAGTTGGTTTTTAACTGAATTTCAGTTTTTATCAGTGTATTGTACTCATTATATTATGGCACTAACCCCTGAGTGGAAGTATAATTTAGAATAAACATTTCATGAAATTTTTTCAAACACTTCTCTAAAATCCAAAGACATCAAATATATCTTCTGTTGTCTCCATTTTTGTAATTTTACCCTAAAAGTCAAATTTTTAAAGCATGCTTTAAAATAAATAAAGCAGTCTCCATACTACTATTCATGAGACCATTAAATTCCAAATGTTTATGGATTTTTTTCTTTTAACATTTGTTCCATTATTTTACTAGGAGTTCTTGCTAGACTTGCCAGGTGGTAATCACCAGGAGCATACTTCTTACATTTTTGAAGATTGGTACCTCATTTTTTTTTTCTTAATCCTCTGGTACCTCCTCAGATGTTCATGATTTTTCAGACATAATTGCAAGTGGTTTGGGGAGGGGTTTTTTGTTGTTGTTTTTTTAAAGCCAGTTTCCATTACAACAAGATGCATGTCTCTCAGGATTGCTGACGTCCATTTATTCCAAAGTTCCAGACATTGCCGATCTCTTTTATTATAACACAAGCCTGCTTACTTACTTATTTAGTTACCTCCACCATTTCACAGTTCACCATTTCTGGTTATCATTACATTTAAACCTTCTCTTAGAAACCATTTTTTGGTCCATATCTACCCAGATTTATTAAATGGTCCTTTTCATTTATTTTTTTTTCATTGTAGCACTCCTTCATTTTGCTTTTTAAACTGTGTTTACCTTTTCATGTTCCAGATGGCAAGTTGTATTACATATTAGTTGAGCTATTTCTAGTTCCTTTGGTTTTAATGATGAATTCCAAACTTGGTGAAACTGCATTGGAATTCTTCATTCTTTACATTTGTATTCTGTCAAGCAGATTTTATTTTCTGCCCCTTGATTATGATATCTTTTAGAAGATCTCACCTTTTTTAATATTCTATATTTATTAGGTTCTTATTACTAATATTTGCTAGCTTTCTTTAGGCTGAGAAAATACTTTTTCTGAATCAACATCTGTTTCTTGCTGGTTTGAGTGGGGACACAGGGTTCCTTGTCTCAAAAGTTTAACATTCTCAGTCAATTCTTCCTTAGAAATAATGGTTAGATACATAAACACTTCTTCTTTGGTAGGTTTCTGAATCATACATTTTGCTCAGGATAATTTAACATCTTTGATGCATGTTGCAAGGCAGAATTCTTACCTCGGCTGTAATTTAGCAGTTTAAAATTTATCTGGGCACCTGGTAGTCTAAATCATGTGTCATCTAACCAGCGGCAACAGGTCTCTTTTAAGTTCAGAGAGGGCTTATTGCCTTACTTTTAGTAAGTCAGCCCATTGAAACATGTGATTTATTATATCTGATGTGCCCAAGGTCAAAACCACAGAATGGCTTACATTTGTAGTGTTTTGTCTTTGTTTCTGATAGTTGTGATAACCTTTCATATCAGTCTGATTTCTTTGTTTTCTTCCCTGTTAGTCTCCAAGTGTGTCTCCTTGACACTCACAAAACATCTCTTTTCTCTGTCTCCCCTTTTTTAGTTCTCTGCCTTTGTTCTCATCTTTATTTTATTATATCATTTCCATGAGTACTCTGTTCTTACAGTATTTGAGATGATTTTAAAAGACCTTTGGAGGGTTCACTGCCAGTGGTTTCAGGTGGTGTTATGATCAGAGCCATCCTGTCCCATGTGAACCAGATCAGTATCTTTTGACAAACAGTAAGTAGGCTGTGATCACAAGAAAAGTCCTTGACCCTTTCCATTTAATATTTTGGTTTTTCTAAATTATACACTAAGTAAGTATCATACTTTAAGATTTTTTTTTAAAGAGAGAGAGAGAGAGAGAGAGAGAGAGAGGAGAGAGAGAGAGAGAATTTTTTAATATTTATTTTTCTAGTTCTCGGCGGACACAACATCTTTGTTGGTATGTGGTGCTGAGGATCGAACCCGGGCCGCACGCATGCCAGACGAGCGCGCTACCGCTTGAGCCACATCCCCAGCCCATACTTTAAGATTTTTGAAGACATGATTATATTACTTATCTTGGTTTCCTTCCTAAATCATTAAACTTTCCCCTTTTTACCTTCTCACATACTGTTTAATGTATTCCTAGAGACTGAAGGGAATTAAAGTATTTCCTAAAACTTTCTGCAAGTTCTAATTCTAAATATGATTAATTTGTTTGTCAGCACATTCATTCATTTATTTGTTCAGCAAATATTTGTCGATCTACTCCATGCTAAATACTGCTCTAGATGGTGGAGATAACCACCATAGTATGAATTAGACAGCTAAAAGTCCCTGTCTTCACGTGTTGATGACATCTGTTGATTTCATGGTTTTTCTTTATATAGGTATCTTCTGTGGAGGTCTCTATCAAAAAATCTAGTTTTTATAACTCCCTTGCTGCTTTGAAAATCAGTATATCTTTCTCTCCCTATGTCCAAACCATTCATGTTTTTGTGTATACCTGGGTGTACCAGTGTGTTGGGACTGGCCTAACAATAGGCTGTAGACTGGGGTGGTTTAGACAACAGGAGTTTATTTCTCACAGTTCTGGGTGATGGAAAGCACAAATTCAAGGTCCCAACAAAACTTATATTTTATTCCAACTTTATTTTGACTTTTAGGTAGTTCTATCCTGTATGCTCACGGGACCTTGTCTTATGTGTACCTGGGGGAAAGCTTGTAGGCGTGAGCAAGCTCTCTGGCACTAATCCCAATAGCCCAAGGCCCCACCCTCATGACCTTATCTAATCCTAGTTACCTTTCCGGGGCCCCATCTTCAAGTGACATCCAAGGGACTTCACCATGTGAATTTTGGGGACACAAACATCCATAGGTAGTCTATTCATGGACACAGTCATTGTTGTACACATTGGGGCTGCTTCTCCCTAGTTGAAGTTTCTTTGGGGAATCTAGTAGGCAGTTTGCTTCCATAGTCCTTGAATTCTTACTTTTTCTACTAGGCAGATTTATATGTGTTATTTTATCAGCCACTTGATCTATTTAGAAAATAGAGTTATTATCATGCTTCATGCCATCTGACTTCCCTTGCTGCCTTTCTGTGTCTCTGCTTGTACAATATTAGTTACTTAAGACTTTTGTAGTCAGGGGGTCTCCCTGATCCTCATTCGGAAGCTGAAATAGCTCAGATTGTTTGTTGGGATCCTTGATGAACACGGCTTTGTGACAGCCTCCTTGAAGTCTCTTAAAGTCCGGCAGCCGAAGCTTTCCCTCGCAGCTCTCTTCTGCGTCACTGACGATCTCATCTCAGTATTCCTTCCTGAGGTTCTAAAACCTGCCACAAGCAGCTTTTCCATCTGTGGCTTAATAGTTTGTTACTTGGTTTTGTGTCTTATGTCCCAATTCCCCTAGCTCTCTCCTTCCTCAGTGCTAAAAAAAATAATAATAATTCCTTACTGGAATAAATACACATTTCCTTTCCTTTTCTGTGAGACTGTTTTCAAGTTTTTTTTCCCCCATATCTTGACATATTGGATATATTTTAAAACCAAGATTAGGAGTAGGTGCTGGCTTACAAAGCTCATGGACACCATTTCTTTTACCTGGCTCTTTTTTCTCTCACTCATAGTGTTTTTCTACTATTCTGTATTCTCTTCTGGCTTTTAACTTTACTAGTTTAACTTTATTATCTGTTTCCCAAGGTTTCAGGCCAAGAGATTAGTTACAGAAACTGGACTATAGATTTGAGCTTTATATATGCATGTTTGGAAAGATAACGATGTTGAGGAAATAGAGGGAAATGAAGCAGAGAATGAGAACTTTTTTTTTTTTTTTAATTTGCTTTTATGTTCTTCCCCTTAGCGCTCCCGTCCACTCTCTGCCAGTGATGCAGAAATGAAAAACCTTGTGGGCTCCGCCCGGGAGAAGCTGCCGGGGAAGTTATGTGGTTCTGTGCTTGGTCTGTCAATGGAGGAGGTAAAGTCACTCCATTTCAGTCCTTTGTAGATTACCACAGGGCTCAGTGAAAATTAGTGAGTAAGTGATAATATTTACAACAAGCTCTTATATTGAAAAGAGAAAGATTCAAGATGGAAGAAGCTGCTCAGAAAACATTTTAAATGCAGTTAATATCTCCCTGCRTGCTTTCATCATATTCTTGGATGATAAACTCTTCCTTTGTCCAATAGCCACATAGATTTGAGTTTTCAAAATAGGTACTTATAGCCAGATGTGATGGTGCATACCTGTAATTCCAGCAACTCTGGAGGCTGAGGTGGGAGGTTCACAAGTTTGAGAGGTCAGCCTCAGCAGCTTAGTGAGGCCCTAAAAGCAACTTAGTGAGACCCTGTCTCAAAATAAAAACTAAAAAGGGCTGGGATGTGGCTCAGATCCCCTAGGATCAAATTCTGGTACCAAAAAACAAACAGGTATTTGCTTTATTTTCTCTTCCTCCATATAGATTAAAGTTTTACGGAGGGTAAAGGAAGAAAATGATCGGAGAGGTGGATTTATTCGCATATTTCCTACATCYGAGACATGGGAAATATATGGGTGAGGTGACTACCTTTTTTAAAAAAATCTGTACTTTGAGTCCATAGAATTAGATTTATTGTGACACAGTTATCATTCCTCCCATGCAGTGCCTTTGTTATTTTGTTTATTTAAAATACAAGAACTAGGTCATCAACAGTAGTTAATTCACCTGTATGGTATTCCTTCCCACCTCCCCCTTCTTTTTTAAATCTCATGACTCCCTCTTGACTAGTTCCCCAACCCAGGGTTAGACATTGCCCTAAATTTTGTGTATCTAATGATCTTGTCTTGAAAAATTGTATGTGCCTAAACAGTATGTTTTTTATTTTTAATAATCACTGAGRTCTAGTTTACATGCAACAAAATGCATCCATATACATTATGATGATGACCCTGGGGTCTCAGACATCAACTGAGCTGCTTTGTCACTATAATTTTTCTAGAATTTCATATGAAAGACTCCATTTATGTCCTGATTCTTTTGTTTGGTATGGTGTTTTTGACTTATTTGTATTGTCTGAAGAAATAAGTCGTTAGTGTGTACTCATGGATCGTGTGACTGTCCTGTAGCCTGTTTTATCCATTCACCTATTATGAGCCCCATGGGTTGTATGATAAAGAAAGATTATAAAGAAAGATGCCATCAACATTCAGGTACAAGTCCCCATGTGCTTTTAGGATCTCATTGCTCTTGAGCAAATGCCTCAGGGTGGGATAGATGGGTTGTATGATAAGCTGACCATCCTTTCACATTTATCAGTGATTCAGGAAAGCTCTGGTTGGTCCCTGCCTTGCCAATACTTAGTATTGCCAGACTTTTTAAACTTTAGGCAGTTTGAGTGTATCTCTGTAGTTTTGACATTTTTCCTCTGAGGTCTAATGATATGAAACATGTATTCGGATGCTATTGACATTTTTATTTTTTGTTATTGTGTTACAAAGGATGTGACTACTTCTGGGTCGGGTCTTTCCATATATACATGGAAAAATACATATTTTCTCCAAGTTGAAGCTGACTTTTATTCGTATGCTCTGCAGGACCTTTTATGAAGGCCGAGGCCCTTTGTATTTCTTGTCTGAGATCCGTGCCATCCGCAGCTTTGCAAAGCTTTTTCTCTTGTGTTTTCTTCTGGAGTTTTCCAATTTCAGCTTTTATTTCAGGTCTATAATATGTCTTGAACTAAATGTTTAGGGCACAAATTTCCTTTTTGAGTTTCTTCTTAGTGACATGCCATGCATTTTCATTATTTTGGATTTTTTTCGTTCTATTTAAATACTTTCTGATTTCTCTATTGGTTTTCTTTATGGCCCACAGGTTCTTTAGAAGATACAATTTAATTTTCAAATATTTGGGGTTTTCCCAGAGATCGTTGTGTTATTTATTTCCAGCTTACTTCTGTTGAGAACAGATTTCATATAACTTACAGCTTTTTTAATTTACTGAGATTTGTTGTATGGCCCGGTATACCATTCGTCTTGATAAATGTAATATTACATTGAAAAGAACGTGCAGTCTGTTGTTGGATGGAGTGTTCCACAGCCATGTGGAGCTTGACGGTGTGATTCAGATCTTCTCTATCTGTTCTAGTTTCTATTGAGAGAATAGTGTTGAAATCTTCAACTATAATTGGTGAACACAGGAAAAGCACAACTGATAGAGTCTTGCTAATTTGCCCAACTGGCCTCAAAATTTTAATCCTTCTGCCTGAACTTCCTGAGTAGCTGTGTTTATAGGCATGTGCCAGCACACCTGTATTCCCTCCTGTTTTTCTTTTTTTTGGTAAAGAGAATTGAACCCAGGGGTGCTTAACCACTGAGCCACATCCCCAACCCTTTTTATTGTTTTGAGATAGGATCTCGATAAATTGCTAGGGCCTCTCTAAATTGCTGAGGCTGGCTTTGAACTTGTGATCCTCCTGCCTTGGCTCCCAAGTTGCTGGGATTATAAGAGTGTGCCAGCATGCCTGATTCTCCTAGTGTTTTTCCCCAGTAGTTTGATAATTTTGAGTTCTCCATTTGAATCTTTAATTCATTTTAGTTGATTTTTTTTAAATATGGTAAAGGAGAAGAGTCTAACTTCATTCTTCTCCACGTGGATATCCAGTTTTTACGACACTATTATTGAAGAGACTGTTTTTTCCCCACTGTATTCTTCACAGCTTTGTTGAAGATTGGTTGGCTAATAAGTGTGTGGATTTATTTCTGGGCTCTGTTGTCTGTTCTGTTGGTCTGTGTATCTTGTTTTTATGCCAGTACCATGCTATTTTGGTTACTATTACTTTGAGGTCAATTAGTATAATGCCTTCAACTTTGTTCCCTTTKCTCAAGATTTTGTTACCAGAGTTTTAGGGTAAAGGCTCTGATTCCAAGGATTTCAACAGACTAGTTTGGCTGTCTATTCCAAAATGCCAATTGAGGAGAGACAAGCAGTGGTGAAGGCAAAGAAGGAGCCTTAATTAAAGTGGCCACACTGGGAAGAACAGAGAAAGGTCTAGTGACCTAAGATCTGTCTTTGAGGAACTGGCAAGAACTTTGAGGTTTTATGAACAAAGGCAAGGGCCAGGGTTTTGCATAGCCTTTGCTCATAAAGTCTCAAAGACAGATCTTAGGTCACTAGACCTTTCTCAGGGGCAGAGAGGTTGATGCATAGCTGGCAAAGCAGGTAATCTTGGTCAGACCAGGGTCAGCTTGATGATTATCTCAAGACTGGTTTTACGAAGTTCTGGGTAAGTTTTCATTGCTTGAGGGGCAGTTTGGTTCCTATCATGAGATGATTATTCCTGCTTAGGGGGGCAACCTCTGCTCCATCATGGGGTAATTGCTCCTGCTTACAGGGCTCATCTCATCATGGGGTTGTCTGTCATGAGGCTTGCTCTTGCTTGGGGATGGTTTTGGCTCCTTTTTATAAAGATGTTTATTGGTGAGGCCTGTTGTTTCTGGAATTCAATGCAACTACAGGAGAACTCAGAGGGAAAAAGTCATAGGAAAAATGGAGTTAATTAGGTCAGCAACTAGGCCTTCCTTTAATTGCTTTCCCTATTTGGGGTCTTTTGTAGATCCACACAAATTCCAGGAGTTTTTTCCCCTGTTTCTTGAAGAATGGCATTGATATTTTGATAGGGATTGCTTTGAGTAGTATGGACACATTAACAATATTTACTCTTCCAATTCCTTAATAAATGGATGTCTCTTCGTTTATTTTTATTCAGTTTCTTTTATCCATGCTTTATAGTTTTCAATATAGAGATCTTTTATCTTCTTTGTTAAATTTATTCCTAAGCATCTTTTTTTCTAACTATTGTAAATGGGATTGTTTTGTAATTTGTATTTCAAATAATTCACTATTAATGTATAGAAATGCTTCTGATTTTTATATGTTGAGTTTTTTTTTTTAATCCTGCAACCTAATTAAATTAGTTCATTAGATCAAACAGTTTTTTAGTGTAGTCCTCTAGGATTTTCTATATATAAGATCATGTCATCTACAAATGGGGACAATTTATTTCTTCCTTTCCAATTGAGATGCCTTTTATTACTTGCTCTTGCTGGGACTAACTACTGTGGTGAATAGAAGTGGTAAAAGTGGGCAGCCTTATCTTAGAGGAAAAGCTTTCAACTTTTCCTTGTTCAGTATGATGTTAGCCGTGAGTTTTCTGTGTTTACATTTCATTTATACTTAGTTTTTTGAGAGTTTTTAATCATAGAAGAGTTGTTGCATTTTCTGCCTCTGTTGACGTAATGTCTTCCAGTTGTTGATTTGTATTTGTTGAGCCATCCTTGCATTCCTGGAATGAATCCCAATTTATCATAGCAAGCGGTCATTTTTAATGTGCTATTGAATTCAGTTTGCTAGCATTTTGTTGGGGATTTTTGAATCTAAGTTCATCTGTCTTCATATAGTTTGTGTGTYTGTGTGTGTGTTTTCATCTGGTTTTGGTATCAGAATAATGCTGACCTTGTAGAAGGAGTTTGAAAGTATTCCTTCATCATTGAATTTTTTGGAGTAGTTTGAGAAGAATTGGTGTTCGTTCTTCTTTAAATATTTGGTATAATTAATCAGTGAAGATATCAGGTTCTGGGCTTTTTTTTTTCTCTTTTTTTGATCAGAGACTTTTTATTATTGATTCAGTCTCATTACTTGTGACTGATCTGTTTTCATTTTTGTTTCTTCATAAGTCAGTCTTGATAAACTGTACATGTCCAGGAGAGCACCATTTCTTCTATATTACAAGCCAGTTTATTGTTCATAATACTCTTATGATCCTTTGTGTTTCTGATATCAGTTGTAATATATCTTTTTTTCTAATTTTATGGATTTGAGTCTTTCTCTTCACTATTTTAACTGCTGGTTTATTGATTTTGTTTATCTTTTCAGAAAACCAACTCTGATTTTTATGGTTTCATTTCTTCTACTAATTATGGGTTGAGTTTGTTCTTGGGTTTTCAATTCTTTGGGGTACAACATTAGGTTGTTTGAAATCTTCTGTTTTGATATAGGTATTTACATGGTATATCTTTCCCCCTTGTTTTACCTTTTATCTATCTCTATCTTTATCGTTAAGGTGGATTTCTCATAGATAGTATGTGGTTAGTCTTGATTTTAAAATTTAATCTCTGCCTTTTATTTGTAATGTTAAAAATATTTACATTTACCATAATTTTACATATGGTTGGGTTTAAAAATGCCATGTTACTCTTTTTTTTTTTTAGTTGCTATAATTTTGTCTCCTTTTTATTTTCTCCTGCTGCCTTTGTATTAGTTGATTTCTTTTACCTCTTTGTTTTACTGTTTTTAGGGCTACTMTCCTAGAGTGAATGCACATCTTTGACTTATTGCAATGTCACCTTCAAATAATATTATATTAATTCATGTATAATGAAGGGACTTTACAACTAATATACTTTCCATTTCCTCTTCCTATTGTTTGTGTTATCATTATCATATATTTTATTTCTATGCAAGTTCCACAGTAGATTGTTAGTTGTGACTTGAATAATGAGTTATAATTTAAGGAAATTGAAACATTTATTACTATTTTCAGTGTCATTCATTCTTTTATGTCAGTTCAGGTTTTTATCTGGTATCATTTTCTTCTATCTGAAGAACTTATTTTAGGATTTGTTTTAGGTCCAAYGGCAACAAATTCTCTCTTATGTTTATCTAAGACAAGTATTTGTTTTTCATGTTTTTTTTTTTTTTTGTACCAGGGATTGAATTTGGGGGCACTTGACCACTGAGCCACATCCCAGCCCTATTTTGTATTTTATTTAGAGACAGGGTCTCWCTGAGTTGCTTAGTGCCTTGCCATTGCTGAGGCTGGCTTTGCACTGGCAATCTTCCTGTCTCAGCCTCCCCATCCTCTGGGATTATAGGCGTGTGCCACTGTGCCCAGATGTTTTTCATGTTAAAAAGAATTTTTTGACTAGTTATAGAATTTAGATTGATACTTTTTCCCCAGTATACTTTAAAAATGTCTTTCCATGGCCTTCTGGCTTGCATTTTTCTTACGAGAAATGTGCAATAATTCTTATCTTTGTTTATTTGTGTACAGTGTCTCTTTTTCCCTCAGCTTGCTTTTTTGTGTTTTTGTAGACTTGCTTTTTAATTGTCCTCCATGGTACATATTACTCCAATTTCAAGTGGACTACAGGTGGTCTGGGCAGGCTCCCTCCAAAGGTAACCCAGGGAAACTAATAAGAACAGCTTACTCTTGGGCTACTGAGTTGTTCAGGGATGGACGTGTGACCAGGGCCTGTCCAATCAGAGCCACCTCAGTATCCTGCCTGGGAGAGAGAGGTCCTCTTTTCTTTCTGCTGGATCTGGACAAAGGAAGCTTGTTCTTTGATTCTGCAGCTGCCATATGGTATGCCCCCATGCCAGGAACCAGCCTGTAACCATCGAACCAATAAACCAGGGCATTAGGGACAGTTTGGATCTGCTGGATCTACCCTCACTTGAAACTTGTGTCTTTGAGGAGCCTTCATCACCAAGAATGGAGTTAAATTCACAATTCTCAAGTTTGAACTTTTAATGAGCAGTTAGCCCAGATCCTTTTTTCGCTATTAGTTTTACCTGGGGTCAGGTGCCAGTGATTCTAACATCCACAAAGGAAAAGTGTTGCTGGTGCTGAGAGGTGCCTTTTATGTTTCCCCAAGCTGTACTGGGAGAGGAGGTCCTAGCTTTGAATCTCAGCTTTCTTTTTTTTTAAAGTAAGAGTGAGAGAGAGTGAGAAAGAGGGAGAGAGAGAGAGAACTTTAATATTTATTTTTCAGTATTTGGCGGACACAGCATCTTTGTCTGTATGTGGTGCTGAGGATCGAACCCGGGCCGCACACATGCCAGGCGAGCGCGCTACCACTTGAGCCACATCCCCAGCCCGAATCTCAGCTTTCTAGCTGTACTTTAGCAGAGGGCAAGTCTCCTGTCACCTGTATCAGGAGACCTGCCTCCCACTCTGTCAAACTGAAATAACACCTACTTTAGAGGGCTGCTGTTTAAACGAGATGGCACATTTAATCAGATTGCTTTTCTACAGCTTTCTTTCTTTTGGGGATTCTTTGAGCTTCCTGGGCTGTGGGCTCATATTTTTCATCAAATTTGGAAACTTTTGGCCATTATTTCTTCAAATAATTTTTCTAGTTCCCTCCTTTCCTTTATTTTTCTAGGACTCTGGTTACATGTTAAATTGGTTCATATTTTGCAAGTTTATCAATGTTTATATTTTTTCAGACTTTTTCCCTTTCTTGCCTTCATTTTATTAATATTAATCTTTATTAATGCTAGTCTATTAATTCCAGTGAAATTTTCATTTCAGATCATTTATTTTCATCTGTAGAATTCCCATTTCTTTTTAATGGTTTCCTTTGCTCTTTTCAATTTTTATTTTGTTTTTGTGTGTGTTTGATTTCTTTTAGATTCTTGTGCATATAAATATAGTAACTTTTTAAATCTTTTTCTTATTCTGTTATTTCTGAAATTTCTGGGTCTATTTCTGTTGACTGATTTTCCTTTTGTAAATGGTTTACATTTTTCCAGTTTCTTCATATGTACAGTAATTTTTTGATTGGATACTGACCTCTGTGTGTGTGTGTGTGTGTGTGTGTGTGTGTGTTTGTGCGAGTATGTTTTGTTTTGTTGTACTGGGAATTGAACCCAAGGGCACTTAACCACTGAGCCACATCCCCAGCCCTTTTTATGTTTATTTCTAGTTTTTATTGTGAKACAAGGGTCTCACCAAGTTGCTCAGACCTTTCTCAATTACTGGCCTCAAACTTGCAATCCTGCCTCAAATTTGTAATCCCAGGTTGCTAGGATTACAGCATGCATCACCATTCTCAGCTTAGGTACTGACCATTATAAATGTCATATCTGACTGAGTGTTTGGATTTTATTGCCTTCTTAAAATCTGTGAAGTGTTTGTTTGTTTTTTGTCAGGCACCTCAGTTACTTGTAGATAAACTAAATATTTTTAAGCAAATTTTAAAACATTATTTGGTTTATTGAGAATACCTTTTTTTCCTAGATCTTGGACAGTTCTGCCACTAAAGATTCCTTTGGGATGACTGCTCAGTGACTCCCATGTATAAGAAGATCTCTCCTGACTAGTGAAACTCAGTTTGCATGCTTGTGTGAACTCTGGGAGTTTGGCTTCTGCTTTGTTCTTTGTTCTGACAGTTGCTTTTCCGCTTAGCCTTGCACTCTGTGCCTGAGTGGATTAGTATTCACCAGAGGACTCTAGGGACCCCTGTTTGGGATTTCCTCTTAGGCACAGGTTTTTCCTCTGCAGCTCTCTTCTCTGAAAACTCTGGCTGCTTCCTAGAATTCGGATCTCTACCATCTCCTCTGGGAGACTGTTGGGAGACCTTTTCTTATATAGTCTGGAGATTTTTAATTCCCTCTATCAGGGATCACAGTTCTGTGCTGCCAGTTGTTTGATATCTGAAGACGGTTGTTACTTTTATGTCATACACTTTTCTAGCTCTTTGTGCTAGGAGTGCAGGTCCTATAGCAGTTATTGTCTTGTGTAGAAGAAGAATTCTATTGTTATAAATGCTTTTGACCTTTTTCTAAACAAAATGGCATGCTTTATGTACGCTTGCTTTTTCCATTAAGCATTATGATACTAAGGTCCATGTGGTTGCCTGTAGCTATACCTCATTCCTTTTCGGTGCTTTATTTTATTTTACCATGTGTTTGTACTACTGTTAATTGTCCCATTTTCCTGTTGAAGGTCATTTGACTTCTTTCTGGTCTTTTGCTGTGCTATATATATTCTTGAATATGTCTCCTGAGTATGTATCTAGGAGTGAATTGCATCCTGTAATCCCAGTGGCTCGGGAGGCTAAGGCAGATGGATTCTGAGTTCAAAGCCAGCCTCAGCAACAGTGAGGCGTTAAGCACCTCAGTGAGACCTGTCTCWAAATAAAATACAAAAAGGGTTGGGGATGGGGCTCAGTGGTCCATGCCCCTGGGTTTGGTCCCCGGTACCAAAAAACAAAAAAACAAAAAACAAAAACAAAAAAGAAAGAAACAGTTTCCTGTCTATATCTCGTGCCCTTTCTGCATCTCCGGGCCTTACTTCATTTGACCATTTCTACATGTGTGATGTGGTCGATTTCTACATCTGTAATGTGTATCTTTATCTTTCAGATTCATTTTCTGAATTTACTAATATCACCTTTTATTAACCCAAGAAATGCTGCCCTTTTTTTCTTTTTATTTTCTAAGTTAAGTCCTTTTTCTTTATTCTTTTCATTTATTCTACTTGCTGCTACTCTGGTATTTTATAATTTTAACTTGAGCAGTCGTCTACTCACCTGCCACTTTTAAAACAGCGTATTTCTTTAGAACAGTATGTAAGTAACCTGTCCCTTCTGTGCTTGGTTCATGTTTTTATTTCTGTATTTTCCTCTTGAGTTAAGCTCATGCAATAACTGCTTTCTTTCTTTGTCCTTCAGGTCCTACCTCGAGCACAAAACCTCCATGAACTACATGCTGGCAACACGCCTCTTCCAGGACAGGTGGGGATTTGCTAAACTCATAAATTTAGGACTAGGTCACAAGATTAGGACAAAGTGTATGTAAAAGAAAGAAAGAAGTTTTATCAAAATGTTTGTAAAATCTGTGATAGAAAGAACCTTGCAGAAAACGTACACACTTCATTTTTCAGAATCTATCAGTAACTCTCARCACTTTGAAACATTCTCAGAAACCCAAATTAAACCATAAAGATCTTTGAGCAGTCTTAACAGATGCCGTTCCTACTCATTGCCTTTTGACCTTAGGCACAATTTTAATAGAACAGTTAGTTTTTCTAGACCAGAAGAGATTATAATTACCAGATCAGAAAAAGTATAGAGAAAGGAATTTACAAAATAAATTCACTGATACTTGTAGGAAATGACAGCTGATCATCTCGGCACAAGAGAAAATAGGGAAAGGATGGAGAACAGACACTGGAATTCAAGTAGCATGGTGACCAGGCGTCACTTAGTCCCACAGAGTTCAGTGGCCCCTGAGACACAACTGCATTGAACACTCTTCAGTAATTATCAAAACCTGGCACCTGAGTTATTCAGAGAAATCGTATTATTTTGAGAGTATCTATCTTTTTTTGAATGATTCTTAAAACAGAGACCCAGATTCCAGCCGTCATGGCTGTGTCCCCCTGACTTTTTCACATTCCATTGTGTCTTTTATCTTTTCACTCTTAGAGATTTCTTGAAACTTGTCTTCTAAAACTCTAAATTGATCCTCAAGGTTTTTGTCTTTTGGATTATTTTTGTTGTTATTGTTCTTTGCTTTTAGAATTCATTATCCTCATAGAAGAGAAGCTATTTAATTTACATTTTTATTTGGAGAAAATGATTTTGATATCCAAGAACTATCTTCAATTAGTTTTCATATTTTATGGATATGAACTCTTTTCAAATCTCAGTCTTAGTTAAGTTCCTTTTAGCTTTTGCATTATATAATTTATCTGTATTGATTTTGTATTTTCACTTTGTTCTTTTTGGTTTTTATTGTCACATATCTGCAAATATCTGATGAGCTTTGCCCGTTTAGTCCTCTTGAGAAGGACTGGGCCCTTTGGTGGTTTGCCTGGTTTTCTTACAGGTCATCTAGAGAGATTCCTGACCTGACATGGACCCTGCCTGAGGCTGGATCTTCTAGTACTTGGGTTTCCTGAGGAAGAAGGGTGCAGCAGACAAACTGGGGACTACTATGTTTGCCAAAATTAGGAAGCATTCCCTTACAAGTAACATAACAATCAAAAAATTTAAGACTATAATAATAGATGTGCTTTGCTAACACAGGAAACAGCAAAACCTAACAGCAGGCCTGAAAATTACCAAAACTTCACAGAAAAAATATTGATAGTATTTTGAGATCCTGTCACAATTCTAAGTAGTATGAGAAAAGATGTATTTCTTTTGATAATGAAGTGTTATACTAATTCACTACTATGGATTCCTACATTTATATGGAGGAACCTTTTCATTAGAGGAGATAATGTTTTTCTATCTTAAGTTGTTATATTCCCTGCATTCTTTCTTCAAGTCCCAGTTAACAACTCCTGCTTATAAAGCATTCTAGAAATTTGGATTAAGAAAACATAAATTTCCTTGTTCAGTAAAGAATGCCTTCATGATTACTCTTGCCTACCATTTTAGCCTAACCCATGGCCAATGAGGTCGTCTTTACTTGCCATTTTACAATTCCTTATCCTTACAAACTCTCTTTCCCTTGCAATGGACTTCGGTTGTTAACTAAATTCCTATGTTCTTCTTCCCTTCAGCCTGGACTAGGAGGCAGTATTCTCATCCCTTCTTTTACTCTTCAGTCTGGTTTAATTTTCCAGATTGTAGTGTAATTTCCTTTTTGCTAACTTGTGTTTTACAAGTTGGCCCTTTAGAGTGGGTAGTTTGTTATATTTGTTTATGTCAAGAACCTATCTACCACATCGTAGGCAGACACACAAAACCAGGCATTGAAAAAATGAAATTGCATTTGTTCCAGATTCTGATATATTCTAGTAAATCTCTTCAGTCTGAATTGATGTATTTCCTCTTGCAAATCCAATTGTGTTGTTAGAAGCACTTTCAAACTCAGTCTCCTTGTTTCTTATAAGTTCATTTTGTTCACCTGCCTTCTCTACCKACTCCTCTGCCTGTCTCCCTGGCACATAATATGTTACATAAGTGTCTTAYTCAGTGGCCCTAGTTGTAAGCCTGGCTACATATTTGTAACTCCTGGGAATCTTGTAAATCACCTTTGTGCCCTGGCCCACCCCTAGAAGGAAGTCCTTACTAAGAGCTGCCCCACTGATTATAATGTGAAGCCATGATTACAGATTACTGGAGAAAGCTTTCATGTAGCAAAGGAGTTAAAGTTGCCTTGAGACTTTTTGATGATATTGTGACAATATCAGGGATATAAGATGTRGTAAAGACAAAAATCTTGGTAAAGACAACTTTTCACTTTACTTTTTAAAATAAATATAATCTGCATTGCATTTGTCTCTTWAAAAAAAGCCCATAAGTTACGTGCTGAGTGATTCTATTTATATGACATTTCTGAGATGACAAGTTTTAGAATGAGCAGTTAATGGGAGAGATCAAGTAGGAGGAAGGTATGTATAGTTATGAAAGAGCAGCACAAGGGATGCTTATGGTGGCTGAGGTCATAGTTCAGCAGCTCATTTGTGATGGTGGACACGTGAATTTTCAAGGGTGGTAAAATTGTGCTAAACTAAATATACACATTCACAAATAAAATGTATGAAGTGAAAGGAAACAATGAGAGAACGTTTTGAAAGCCTATTTAAACTTTAAAATGGTACTCGGTTCCTGTGGTTAGAGCCCAACCCTAGTTTAGAGACAGTGGATGGTGTCTGTCTCTCTCTCTTTTATACATACATACACATATATATGTATGTATATATAATTTTTTTTAATTTGTGGAAAGTTTATGATGAACATCTTTTTGGAACCCCATAAGAATTGAACTTGGTTTCCTTTCCTGAAATAGTTCAGTGAAGGTAGAATGAGCTGAGTTTGAGACTAACCAAGTCCTGGGTTGAGATGTAAAATCTTGAAGCTCTGACGGTGGGCAGGTTCCAGAATCACTTATATAAACAGAGCTAAGAACACCCTTCTTCACAGGATTGTGAAGAGGAATAAATGTGATTTGCTTTGTAAGTAAATGTAAGTCATTGTCATTTTTCTCCAGAATCTCTTTGTTTTTTTCCTTCTGTTTTTTATTGAGCTTCCCTCCAGTTCACAATATTCTGCTCTTCTCTGAGAGTGTTCTCAGCTGATCTGTAGGCTTCTGTCCTCCCAAGGTGCACTTTCTGTTATGATTTCCTATTGAATGTCTATAATAAAAGAGTTCAGGAGGCATGTTTGTGTGTGAACTCCAGAGTGAATATCTGAATAGCATTCTCTAATCCAGTTGTCCTTTCTACTTCTGTAGGGGAAACCCAAGAAGAAGCTTATTGACAGGAAGAACACGGTAATTGATTTTTAAAAGTTGAGAATTCTTTCCATGTGCATAATAGTATGACCATGCACAGACTAAGCATAACACTTTATATGACCATTTTTAATTTGGCTCAATATGAATAGTAACATAAAAATGTTTTCTATTGAAAAAATATTTTGTGGCCACTTTTTATAAACTGAGATTTATTTTCTTATAATTACATGTATATCATTTGAACTAATAATAACCATATTCTTGTTTGGCTATGTGAGAGAGACCAGAGTATTAATGAGATTTCAAGACCATGTTAGATTCAAATAAGAGCTTATGCTTTGGTCCTGACATTCTGAGGCGTATGACCCTGTGCCTTTTGGGACTGAGCCGAACTCACTTTCCGTTTGCTGTGGAACTCGAAGGGTGCAAAATACCTGTAACTTTTCATTTGGGCAGAAAGTAGAAATGTGTCAGAGATGGCTTTGCCTCACTGAAGACTTCAGTGACCGCAAAAACTCTTAGCCTAAACATACATCTTCTGGTTATGGAGAGTGTGAGGCTTTACATATACCCTCTTTGTGCTGTACCTCTTTAAAAATAGCAATGTGATGACAATGAGGAAGAAACTTCCTTTACACAGCTTTTTGTTTTGCCTGTAAGAGTTAAAACAAAGAGGGAAACTTGGTTTCTCAGCTAGGGCCTTTGAAGCATCAATCTAATTTTTCTTTAAAGAARGAAAGCATTAAGATTGCCTTTTAGTGAAGGGGAAACTGAAGTCAATCAAGTTTGTAGTTTGTTTCCAAATAAAGTCACACTTAGTTTCTAAGTTTTCTCTAGTTTTTAGCCCAGATTGCACTGGATCTTTAGATCCAGAGAATGCTGTCAGATTGGMGTTGGGAACAGAAAGAATGAATCTTACCCAGTAAGAATATTTGAGATCTGTGAGTTCTGTCCTTCCTTGTTCAGCACTCATTTGTGTCACCATCAGTAGGGGTTTGGTGGTGTAGAAATGTAAACAAATGGAAGCTGGCCTGTGGCACCTACGCCAGAGCATGGAACAGTGTTAATATATTGAAAAGGATTGAAATGATTCTGGGATATTCTTTGGCCACAATGGAATTAGATATCAGTAGCAATAGAAAAATCCCCAAATGTGGAAATGAAACAACATATTTCTAAATAATCTATGGATCAAGGAAGAAATCACAGGAATTTAGGAAATATTTTGAACTCAGTATAACAATATAGCATCAGAATGTATGGGCTGCAGGTAAAGTAATGCTTTGAAGGAAATGTAGAGCTTTAAAATGTTAGAAAACTGAGGACTAAAATCACCAATCTAATGTCCATGTTAAGAAACTAGAAAAAGCATAATAATCAAAAATAAGTTTAAAAGAGGGGAAATATTAAAGAGCACAGATAACTGGAAAAAAAAGAGAAACAATAAAGAAAGTTAACAAAATCCAAAGTTTATTCATTGGTAAGCTACTAAAATTGATAAACCCTTAGATAAACTGATCTAGAAGAACAGAAAGAGAACTCACAGTGCYACTATCAGAGAGAGAAAAGCAGAGTCCTGACAGATTGTATAGACATAAAAAGAGTTAAAGGACTATTATTAACTACCTTATTCTGTTACCCTCTGACATTTAGATAAAATGACTAAATTTCCTCAGTGAGGGGCACTTRCCCAAACTGACAAAAGCTGAAACAAATTTTGCAGAACACTGTATCCTTTCAGAGAATCGAATTTGTAATGAAGAACCTTTGTATAAAGAAAGCTCCACACTTACTGGTTTAACTGGTGAATTCTGTTGGTGAATTCTGTTAGTGACCTGAAAAAGGAACAACACCCATCTTACACAAACTCCTTCCCATTTCTATGATACCAACATGACCATGATGCCAAAACCTGATGTTAAAAAAGAAGAAGAAAATATCCTAATATCCTTCACAAGAAAAGTCACAAAGTTTCTTTGAAGAATAGTAATAAATATAGCTAGGCATGGTGGTACAGGTACACACCTATAATCCTAGTGACTTGGAAGGCTGAGGCAGGAGGATGACTTGAGCTAGTAGTTTGAGGCCAGCCTGGGTCTTATCCAAGGGGGAGAGAGAAAGAGAGAGGAAAAATCAGTCTAATCCACCAGTATAGGAAAAGGATATGAGTAAGTGAAATTTACATATGAGTAAGTGAAATTTTCTCCAATAATTCAAGGTTGATTTAACTTTTTTGATTTTTGGTAGTGCTGGGGRCTGATTCCAGGGTCCTGGGCAAGCTAAGCAAGTGCTCTGCTACTGAGCTGCATCCCTGGCCCAGATTTAATATTGGAAAAATGGCAATATAATTCACCACAGAGGAGAAAAACTAAATGATTATTTTATTAGATAACCCCACAGGGGGGGAAAAACCCACAGCTGATGAAATACAAAACATATTTTATGAGAAAAACTCAGCAAATCAGGAACAGAAAGGAGCTTCTTCAATCTGATAAAGGCCATATGTGAAAACTATGGCTAACGTCATGCCTGGTAAAAAATTGAAGTCCTCCCCTGCTGATCAGTAAGGAGGTAGGTTGTCCACTCACCACTTTTATTCACATTATACTAGAGGCCCTAGGCAATACTATAAAACAAGGAAGAAAAAAACAAAAAGCATACATATGGGAATGGAAGAAGTAAAATAAAATGTCTTTATTCTTTGATGACATAATCAAGTTAGTGTAAAATCCTGAGGCATCCACAAAAGAATTACAAGAACATATAGGTGCATGTAGTGTAGTGTGAGGTCTTAGGACACATGGTCAATATACTAAAATCTGTAGCATTTTAATATACTGACTAATAGTAATTAGAAAGCAAAACAAAATTCTATTTATACTAACATTTAAAAACACAAAATGCTTAGGAATAAATATAATGAGATATGTTTAATACTTAAATAGACCAAAAGCTACAAACTAAAAACTAGTACTAAAAGACATGAAGAGAGACCTAAATAAGTGGAGAGAGATGCCTTGCCCTAGGATCAGCAGACTCAGTATTGTTGAAGTACCCATTCTCTGGATCTAAAGATCCAGTGCAATCTCAATCATTATTCTAGTACCTTTTTTTTTTTTTTTGTAGAAATGGACGCACTTTTTATATGGAAATACAAAGAACCTAGAAAATCCAAAGTAATCTTGAGTAAGATTTAGAGTACCTGGCTTAAATATTTTAATGCTGTAGTAATCAAGATGGAGGCAAATTTATTATTGCAACAGAATAGCCCAGAAACAGGCCTGTAGTTATATGGTCATTGATTTGTAATAGAAAGCTCATGTTTTCTTTGATATAAGGAGGCTGATTCATAGTAGGATAGGGAGTGGGAGCATGGGAGGAATAGACAAACTCTGGATAGGGCAGAGGGGTTGGAGGGGAAAGGAGGGAGCATTAATGAGGGGTTAATTAATGATGGTGGAATGTGGATGATCATTATTATCCAAGTACAGGTATGAAGAAACGAATTGGTGTGAATATTCTATGTATACAACCAGAGATATGAAAAATGGTGCTCTATATGTATAATAAGAATTGTAATGCATTCCACTGTCATATATAAATAAAAAATAAATAAATAAATATYGAAAGCTGAGGTAATCCAATAGGAAAAGGAATGGAACCCAGGGAGGGGTGCTCTCCCACAGAGCTACATTCCCAGCCTTTTTTTATTGTTTATTTTGAGACCAAGTTTTGCTAAGTTGCCCAGACTGGCCTTCTGAGTAGCTGGGATTATAGGCATATACCACTGTGCCCAGCTACAGAACTCTTTTAACAAATGGGATTGGAACAACTAGTTATCATATTTTAAAATGAACCTCAGCTCTTGTCTGTCTCAGAAATTAGAGGTGATTCATAGACATGTTATAAACATAAAAGCTATTCATATAAAATGGTGTTGAGGAAAATATAGAATACTTTTGTCTTTGCATTTAGTAAAGGTTTTTAGATATAACAGCAATAAACAAAAAATAATAATTTCCTCAAATTAAWACTTTATCATAAGGTACTATTAAAAATGATTAGATAAGCCATGGACTGGATGGAAATATTTATCAGATGTATCTGTTGAAGAATTAGAACCTAGAAAATCTACCAAATGCTACAACTCAATAATAAAAAGACATCTAGTTACAAATGGGTAAAATATTAGGACATATACTTCAAAAAGAAGATATGTGGATAGCCAGGATGCTCATGAAAATGTGCGTAGCAACACAGAGAATTGTGAAATAAAACCATGATATAGAAGGGCTATATTATTATAATTAYTCTGAACAGAAGGGCTATATTATTATAATTATTCTGAACAGAAGGGCTATATTATTATAATTATTCTGATTGGGGGTAGAGCTAACAATTCTGATATCGTACCTTTAGTAGTTTTAACTAGTACAAGCACTTTAAACAAAGCATCTGTCTTGTTATAAAGCCTAGTAAATTCTACTCTGAGTCCTCCACCCAGATGAAATGAAAGACATAATCACAAAATGATTATACAGATAGGTTCATAATAGCTTTACTCATAATATTCCAAAACAAGAATTAACGTAGGTGTCCAACAGCAGGAGAGTAGATAAATTGGATTGTTCAGACAATGCCTGCCACTCTATAATAAAAGTTGATGCATTCTGATATACCTAACACGGATGAACTTCAGAAACATACTGAATACGAGAAGCTTTACACAAAAGAATTCAGACTGTATGGTTCCTTTTGTTTTGAGGTTTTGAAGCAGGTAAAATGATGAAAACATGATGAAAAACTCAGTCACCGATTGACTTTAAGGTGTTAGGGAGGAATTGGCTGGAAATAGGCACAAGAAATTTCTGAGTTTGATAGTAATGTTAGAGTTTGGGTTATGAAGTTTTAGGCATTTGTTAAAACTTTTTAAACGACATTTAATATTTGGATATTTCACTCTTTTAAGTTTTTTCTCCAAAAAAAATCTAGTAAAGCAAATATTGAATTCCAAATAGTAATGATTGTGGATTGAAATGTATAGGAGCAAAGTGCACTATTGGTCTGAAACTTGGGAATGCTTTGCAAATTAAATGGGTTGATGGATGGAGAGAGGAATACATGATTGCATATAGATACGATGGAACAAATGAGTGAAGGAGTCATTGTAGAGACTAGATGGTGGGTAGGTRTACGATGTTCATTTTATAATTCTTTTAACTTCTGTTTAAATATTTTTATAATAAAACTTTGAAAAAATAAAATGAAATAGATATAACTAAAAGATATTATAACTTATTCATAGAGAATTGAATTACTGATTAGCCAGTGATCAACAAGATGGCTATTACCCAGAGTAGCTGTCAGATTCACACCTTTCCCCAGCATTCCATCTTCTCCAGCCCTTGTACTTTGGAATTTATCTGTTCATCCAGAACCTTTTAGTTCATACTTAAAAATGCCTGTAGAGAAGGAAATTCATACTTGCTTTTCTATATCTCTTGAGCTTTTAGGATTTGTGTTTTMAAAAGCTTTTTACTGATAATTACCCTAAAAGAAATCAATTTTTCCCAAAAGAATTGCATTCTACTGGGCATGGTGGTGTATACCTATAATCCCAGCAGCTCAGGAGGCTGAGGCAGGATGATCACAAGTTCA